TGGAGTTTTCAGCAGTCAGCAGAAGGTAATGTTCTCCTGGTACCAAAAAATCAGACAAATTCCCACCACTCGCGTTCATCGACGATGGAGCCAAAAGCAAAGCCAGATCCTGAGCACAAGGAATGAAATTCACGTTGTCGTGCTCCAAAGCGATTGATAATCAGGAGATGAAGTTGAAAAAAAAAATCTGTATCGAAGGTACAGTGGGGATCACGTTGACAACGATGAGCCGAACAACAACGAAAAATCCAGGGACAAAGGAAAATAAAATAATTAAGTCTGACAGCAGAAAATCAGCTGGATCCCTGGACACTGATTATCTCTGATGAATGCTTGAAACCGAGACCTGAGGTATTGAGTATTGACGGCAAGGCCGTAATAGCTGTACCAGGGCAATTATTATTTATCTAGCTCAAACGACAGAATGCCAATGAATGATTAAATCTACCTCGATTTTTCAATCATTATTTCGTTGAAAATTATTCTCGGTGAGATTATCAGATCAACTATTCAGGATATCCTATTGTTGTTTTTGATATGATTTTATGTTTATTAGTCAGGGGAGAGGGTTTTTGTTGTTATATGAAAAACATGAATTTTCTTTTTTTATTGTTTTGCCTCTCGACCCTGAATGGAAAAATATGAAAATCGAGGTTCCAACAGTCATTAACTCATTTTCCCCCCACCCAGAATGCCCGAGTGATTGAAGAATTTTTTGGAAAATTATTCTGCTGGATGGATTATAGTAATTGAGAGGTAATGAGGTATAAGTCGAATTTATACTTTTGGAATCGCGAATTTATCTCGAGAAGTAGCGATTTTTCGGAGAAATGGTAGAGGAATTATTTGGAGTTAATGAAATTTCCGAGAAAAACGGTCTACTAGCATTTTTACGTAGAATCGATAGTTTTAGAGATATCGTTGATTGTGGAGAGTATTGCATTCGACTTGTCTGATTTCACCACTTGGTTACTGATTTGTAAAACACAAATGCTTGTTGTAAAGATTCACGTACAAATTCGATTTGTATCCGGTTATTTAAAAATAAATAATAACAAACTCGAATGCATCGTATTGCGATCACTGAGTGATCATGCCGCATAAATTGTAATTTTTTAGGTGCTAAGATGGAGTTTAAACTGGATAAAATGGAGAATTGATATAAAAACGTAATTAATTAAAGTGATGGGAATGTGAAGATCTATTTTAAAAATTATTGTCCAACAATATGAACGAAGAAATAGATATTTCCTGCAATTTGTGCATTTAAATGATTTGTGACGCATATTGTGGTTGATTAATAAAAGGCAAATGATTGAGGTATTTTCTGGATAAATGCAAAGTTACTGCTGCAATATTTATAGTACTGCGTCGTACTCCGATGTATGAGGGAAAATTTTAACTAAAGATTCAATATTTTTATATAATGTTAACAGACAGATGGAAAAGTTGGTCGAAGAAAAAAAAAATGATAACAACATTCAGGTATTTCACATTTGCCTTTTTATGTAAATATCGATGTAGCTAGTTTAATTTTTCTATAAGGATATTGCGTAATTATATGATAGAATTAATGAGAGATGTGTTTGAAATGATACGGAAAAACGAATAAATATAAGAAATTTATTGCTGCTAATTTAGAAAGTGAAAAATTATTGAATATGTATTTTTCTGTTCTGTTTTTTTTTTCACTGGGAGTCGCGAACCATCGGTTTCTGGGGAAAATGGTAGAGGACTTTTTTGTGACTCGTTTGATTATACTGGAAAAAGGTCTTTTCACTTTTTTTCGTAAGATCAATGGTTTTTGAGATTAATGGATCAATTTTTACAGAAAAAGTGTAAAATTTCAATTATATGTTTTCAACGTGTTTTGTTGTTATCGAATTATCTCGAAAACTATTAATTTCCGGTAGAAACGTCAGAGGAAATTCCTCTAGATGATTCAATTTCGGAGAGAAAAGTCATTTGGTATTTTCCTCTGAAATCAACAGTTGGCGAAATAAATGGAGAGTTCCGGAGAAATTGTAGCAGATTTTATGAATCTGTTGTATTTTTCTCGTTCTTTCTTCACTAGAGTTTATTTTGGCAAATGTATATACATAGGACGGGGTACTTTTGACAAACCGTACTTGGCAGATGGAGATCGAGCTGTTGAGTAATTTTTTAATTCTTGTTTTATGCAAATAAAAGACGTGAGGAAAATTACAAATTTTTTTATCCCACTGGGAATTTTGGATAAGACTTGCATTTATAGATCTCTCATAGTCATTCTCATTGTAAAAAGATTTAATAAAATATGTGGGTTATAGGAATTGCACCGTTTCCTCCTCGTCTCCTCTATTTTGTTTAAAACATCTTTCATAAAAAATTAACAATTCACAACACGACTTAATTATTCTCCATTTTTCAATTCCACTCCCATTACAAAACCGACACTTACTTATAAAACCATTGATTTGAGGAGAAAAAGTGAAAAGATCATTTTCATCTAAAATTGCATGATTACCAAAAAAGTCCTTTAAGATTTCCCTCCAAAATCGATAATTCCTCGACAAATGGATAATAACTGACAACTCTTTCCTCTTACTTTATCTTTCCTGTGATTTTCGATTTATCTCGAATGCAAACGAGTTCACGGGGCATCGATGGTTTCTCTATCGACTTGTAAGATTGATCCCTCGCAGATGCGATAAACCGCTCATTTCCTTTGAAAGTCTTGAGTGTTTACATCAACCTGAAGGACACTCGTCAAAACAGAGAGACAGGAGTTGTTTACATAATTCTGAAACAGATTTCGGTTTAACGTAAAATTAAAAAATATTCACAGGGTGATGTCATCGCAGTCCTATCAATTATTCCTCTCTGGTAATTCCGTGATTACCAAAGCAACTGAGTGGATGTCTGGAGCGAATTACAGATAATCTGGGAGCTCGTGAGGTTATTCTACAAACAATTCAAAATGTTCTTACTATTTTCTACTTCACATCTGTATCTCTTCATCTGGGTGACCTTTGCCCTGGCCATCACCCAATCTTCAGGAAGATGTAAAGATTATTCTTTTCTCATACTTTTTCTGTCACTTGTCCAACAATAATCTCTTATTTTTATTTTTGTTGATTATCCTCCATAAAATGGACTTCAACCTTTCATAACTATCAATTTATCTCGAAAAATATCGACTTCTGGTAAAAATGTTATAGGACTTATTTTTGGATTAGTCGATTTCGAAGAAAAAATGTCCTATGATGTTTTCTTCTGAAACCAATAGTATTGGAGCTAAATCGGTGTTTAACAGAAGTGAAAGGCGATTTGTGTTACTTTAACGTTGTTGTTGTTATTTTAATTGTTTTTTTTAAATGATTTTTATTTAGTGAGACTCTGTGTTGTCCGGAGTGTCCACACAGGGAAAATCATCATGAGAAACTGTCAGCATGTGGAAAATGATGCCATAGACTGTGTAATTGTTAGCGACAGGTATAAAAATTAAATAGGAGACGATTTACTGTCTGAATTTTTTCCAATACCGAGAATTCTATAATTTATTTATTAATTCATCTCGCAAACAATAAATTGAATTTGTAGAGAACTCCATTTATATTTGTTGAAATATTTCAATTATTTTTAATCATCACTGGAGAAATTAATTATTTGAACATCAAAAAGGATTTGCGATTCGTTTTTTCTAGACTCCAATGCCTGAGAATTGTGTCGAATGGTCGAGCAGATTTTGCGGTTTTGGAGCCAGAGGATCTGTTCGCAGGGATGACCTACGAGGAAGCACCTGTCCTCGTAACCCACGAGCTCAGACTCTTCCCAACCGGTAAAAAAAAATCCATGAAAAAAATTCCATTCATGATATTGTCGGGCACATGTATATTTAATAAAAAATAGATTTATTAATTATATTTAGTGTACACATAAATTAATTATTCATAACAACATTAATTAACTTCCAGAGGCATCGAATTACGAAATGATTGTGTTAGTCAACAATAAAATAAGAAGTTTCTCTGATCTCCACGACAAGAGATTCTGTCACCCAGGGTACGACGCCACCGACAGCGACTGGACCCCAATTTTCGCTGATTACTTTCAAAGTCAGATAATTCCAAAAAGATGTGAGACTCGATCGACCCTTTTGGAGAACAGATTTGCAGCTTTATCCGATTGGTTCCAGGCTGGATGTTTTCCAGGTGAGTGGGCCTTCTCCTCGGAGAAGGACGTGGACAGAAGGCTGAAGTCAAAATACTTCAACTTGTGCGCTGTTTGCAATAATGGGGCTTGTCATCTGAACGATAAATATCGTGGACGTGCTGGTGCTCTGATGTGCCTAACAGAAGATGCAGGTGATGTTGCCTGGGTCAGACTAGACGACGCCAAGGAGCACTTCAAGGTGTCGTCCTCAGAGTACAGAATTCTGTGCCCCGATGGAGTGGCGAGGCCTCTGAACTCATTCAAGTGGACCTGCACGTGGATCTCCAGGCCCTGGCCCGTTGTTGTTGCGAGGCGAGAAATAGCTGAGAGAGTGGCAAGAGTTGTTGATGGACTCCAGAATGCCAACGCATCCTGGCAGACTCTCCTGCTGCAGCTGCTGGAGGGTTACAAAGCGACTCCCATTAGGCTGGACACTCTGAAGACCCCTGAGGACTTTCTGCACGAGTTTTCAGGGCTCAGTAGTGCCTATGCTGGATCTGAGTGCCATCCATCCAGGACAATCAGGTGGTGTCTCTCGTCGTACCTGGAGCACAACAAATGCCAGTGGTTGAAGAGGGCTGCTCTCTCGTATGGAATGGAGCCTGAGATTCAATGTCTCCAGCTGTCAGGGAGAGATGACGCCCTTCAGGGTGTGGCTAGTGGTTTCTGCCACTTCTTCGTGGCTCAACCTGAGGAACTCATGACTGCTGGAGAAAAAAATCTCACTGCTGTCCTGGAGCTCATTCCTGCTTACCACAAGCAGCAGAATAATATCGTCATTCTCGTGATGATGGAGTCCAAGCACCAGAGGGTTGAGGACCTCAGGGGAGCCACTGCGTGTTTCACTAAATACAGGAGCGTTGCCTGGAATGCATTTGTGGCTCTCATGGGCAATCGCTCCGGGGATTCTGACTGGCACTGCAATGGGGACAGGACACTCTCGAATTTCTTCAAGAATATTGTTCTTCCGGATCACGATGTGGAGGATGAGGAGATCGTTGATGCAACATTTCAGTGCTTGACATCTGGTCGTGGGGACGTGGCTTTTCTCACCCTTGAGGACCACTTCAGGGTTCATCCTGGAGTTCGCAGGATATGCGTCGAGGATGTCTCCGATCCTGAGTGCATTCTCACTTGGAGTACACTGGGATCGGTAATTAATTGTTTAAAATTTTACAGCAAACGGAAATTAATTACAAATATTTTTTCATGAATTTTAAAAATTTTTTATTCGTCTGTTAGTTTATTTATTTATTATACTTTCAATTTACGATCCTTAATAAGTAAAAAACGATTAAATCGATAAAATAATTGTGGATATTTAAAATCAGTGAGAAGTCGTAGAGAAATTTGAGTTGAAAAATATCTAAAAATCCGGAGCCTCCGCACACCGATTAATTTGTTGTTTCAGGTGATGATCAGTGAATCTCTCCCCCACGTTCGTCGACGAGAGATTGTCTCACTCCTAGAGGAGATGAACACGTGGTTCGGTGTTCACTATTCATCCCCAACACCAGCCATGACCCTGTACTCCCCCTTTGACGGCCACGAGAACATCATTTTCCCGGTGAGTCCTACCTCCAGTGACACCTGCAAAGTATTTCCCCATCGAAATCTACATCCTGTGAGTGAATCTCCCCCGCAGAGGCTCCATAATTTATCATATTCCTAGAGCACGATACCCAGGGAAAGAATCTGTTGCTGCATGACACCACAGCCCTGTCAAAACTCCCCAAAAAAACAGCACCAGCTCTTTTACCCTCGACCTTAGACATCAATTTCTCAATCTGTCGCCTGGACGTCAGGTGTTTGTCAGTGGACTTCATCCACCTAAACATCCTTCGTGCTGGAATTTTTCTGATCGACTCGTCATCTCCAGTCATTGAAAAACACGTTTTACCCCTCATGAAGATTCCAGTTCCATAAATCATTGCTACCGGAATGGCTGGAGGAAATTCATGTGAGAATTCCCAGCTGACACGTCCACAGATCATCCTCTGGTTCTTATCCCTGACAATTACCCCCCATCCCCCAGACACTCCATCCTCCCTATTTTTATCCTCAGTCTTATCTTTTTTATTAGTGATTTTATCCTGGATAATTAGTGGATGGGGACTTCCCTCGAGTTGTTCTCTCGCCTCTAAAATAGCTGAACAGTCATCTGCTCTTATCACACAGCCTGTCCTCCCCTGATCGTCAGCAAGAGCTGAGCATTTTATTGATGCACCACTGGAGCAGCTCCATCCCTCCTCCAGTTGTAAAATAGTTGACACGATTACGTCCGCAGCTTCTCCACCCTGGATCAACAATTTGTACCCATCGTTCGCTGATTTTTTCATCAACTCCAGGGCTGAGGGGTTGGAGTACTCCACATCACCTGGATATCCATGAATAACGATTATGGGTGATGGCTTTCTCGGTGCTATTCTTTTTTTTATCCTCGAAAGCTCATCCCTGGTGCTCAGAAATTTTTCCTCTTCGTGGACTATTTCTCTCGCCCACTGACAATAATCACACATCACTTGGAAATTTATCAAATTAATTTCAGGCAATTGTTTTTCTTTTTTGTTTCAGCGATTGACTGTCAGTCTCGTCCAGAATGTGAGTTATTTGCAGCTGCCTCGACCCTACACTGAAATTCTTCAGCAATTGAGGGCAACCAATCACTCGACCTGTGGATCTTCCAAGTCATACGATAGTATTTTTATTCCAGTGATTGCTTTCCCTTTAATTAACGCAATGATTACTTACTGAGTCGATTCCATGACTGAAATATTTTAACAAGAGTCCTTTATTTTTTACTAAAATGATTTTTCAATTAAGTCGTGTGGGAATACTCTAGAAATTCTGTTGGGATTTCTGTAGAAATTCTAGAGAATTTCATTCATTCGAGTGAATTTTTTAATTAAAAATTATCGTAATGAGCAGAAGTCAAGAAAATTGTTATATAAATTCATCTATATTTGTACAATAATTAATATTACTATTCTTGTCAATAGCTCGTGCCAAAATACTTCTAATTCGTAACAATAATAAGAAAAGTAGAGAATTAGTTTCTCAGGACGGATTTTCATGGACTAGAGTTTCATTAATCAGTGAACTGCTACGTAATATAAAAATGTGTTCAAGTCAGCAGTACGATCTGCATTATTCGAGTAGTGGAATTCCTTGTTGAATTTGTGAATCTCCAGGGTGCCGTT